GATTTTTGAGAACGCGGGCAAAATGCAATTTTGTCAAACAAGAAAAACAGTGGTGTGGTGTTGCGTCGTCACCGCACTGCGGCCCCAAACTCACCCTTAATTATTTATAAATGTGAAGTTTGTCAAATCATAAATAGATTTCAATCACCAAATCATAAATAGATTTCTTATTACTCCAAAGAAAAAAACTCTTCTAGTAAATATTATAAGATTCTAAAAGAAAATTTAACACACAATGCAGAGTTGTAATCATTGTGATAGGAACCAAAAGAGTTTTCCACAAAATTACGGCAACCAAATATTTTATTTCAATAACATCAAACAACACAACTCAAATACATAAAAGACAAGCCCTTAAAATTCAAGATGTAGGCAATTTCTCCCAAACCCTAACTCTAAAATTTCATACAACAATCACATGCATACCATAACCCTAACATATTAAACCATATTTATACTCCAAAACAATAACTAACAAAAGACTAAATTGTCATTTTAGCCTTGCACCTAAAATAAGTCTTCAAATTATCCGGCGGGCTCAGGCTCGGGCTCGGAAAACGTTGTAGATGTCAGTCTAAAACATTGTTCCCTTAATGGAATTATTTGAAATGTATCATTTGATGTACTTATTTTATCATTATGCCTATGTGCATCATATCCTATTAAATTATCAATTGCTCACATGAATGATTATTATAAAAAAATTTGAAGAAGCTTCATCTTAACTATAGCAAAGATGGGTTTTGCTGCAGATTTTAAAAAAATATATATGGAACATAAACAGAGTGATAAGGCCATGTTAAGTCAAAATTCAAAATGATTTTCTCCCAAAAATATTAAAAAATTAACTAGAATAGCATGGCCAGTCATGACTTAGGACAAATGCATACAGCTCAAAAATTCACCAATTCTAAGGCATCAATCTAACTTTATACCATTAAACGGTCTACAAATGCTATGGATTCTTCCTTTTTTTTTTCACCTGCTCCTAATTTCACATTTAATTTATTAACTGCACATTTCTCATATGGATCTAGTTCCTCGTGTTACTATTAGTGATAAAAATATATAATTTTGTCCAGTACTAATTGTGCTCGAAAGCACTTAGTGTGATGAAGCAATCTTATATTTGATGATTTATGGATTTCTCCATAATTTCAAATAATGCTCAAATATGTTAGATGAATATCAAATGAATAGGTCTTACAGAGAGATTTTTCCAGTCTATACAGAATTGATGCTAACTCATAAGCTATCATAAATAAAAACACGAACTACTAGCACTTCACCAATCATTCTATTTGAATTTCGTATTTTTTTATTTTTAAAGTTGATTTTTTTTTAATCTATTAGCAAGAGGAGTAAAATTTTATTTTCACAAGTCTTTTAGGTTATATTACTCTTAAGTTTGCTATTCATGCGGTAGTTGGGTCTCTTGGAGTTTGCTATCTTATCCCAATCTAGGTGTCTCTATTTCCAGCATTTATAGTTTCCTTGCCTCTTGAGATAATTCCTGCAACTCCTTTGTAGTTTTTTAATATAGCTATTAAGGGACTTCAATTGCAACTATCTTGTAAAGGTTATATGAAAGCATAAACAATCTTTGGACCTTGGAGTGAATTTCATGGGTAAAGTAGTTTTTGCGGTCCGCATATTCCAATGAACCAATAAATATGTTGCAACTAAGATCGTTTCTCAGATTCAAACTTGAAAATTCCATTGTGGTTTCTTCAATCCTATTGTACTTTCGAAGAATACCACCAAAGCGTATCCTAAGGCATGCAAAAAAAAATATTTCATGTCTTAATAAAAATTACTTCAAGATGTTCTTCTCCTTCATATGTTTGATTCATCACTAATGTGCGAGCCGTGAGAAATTTGGGATAACCTGATTCTTCAGTGGCATTTTCTTCTTTCTTCTGTTCATTATTTTTGTGGTACTTATACTACCTCTTTTTTTTAATTGGTTGAAATTGCAGTCATTTTTTGTCAATTCTAATATTTTTTTTTCTTTTTTTTCATCAAATTTAAATATTTTAAATAACTTTCATGATCCTTCACTTGTTTTGCTAAGTTTTAAATAATGGTTAACATCTTCTTAGAGAATTGCATTTTATTTACAAATAAGTAAGCAATAATTATTTAAAGATTACTGGCTTGTTTTTTTTGCTAGAATTACATTTTATTGCATTAGTTTGATTGCATCTAGATCTACATTGCAGGGTATTTCATAGAATCTCTGGAACTTAAAACATCCAACATCATATCATATTCCATATAGTGGCTAATATAAATGAAACGCAACATTCTACATTTTAGTAGAAATTATTTGTTAAATGGTGTCTTCATCGGACTGAATAATATAGCAATATATTTTTTATTAAATTTAAAAAAAAGATTAGGTTTCCTTTTAAATATAAAAATTTTACATGTTACTTTTAAGCTTCAATTTGAGATCATGCATTTCAATCAATACACTTCTACATATTTTTCGTCTCTCACAAAAAAAAATACAATTTTCTAAAGATGCCTTTAGTTATGGTGTGTAGTTATTATATTGTTTAATGGACAACAAAACTACAGTCAGCAATAAATAGCTGCATGATTTACTCTACGAGTGTGTTGCTTAGTGTTCTAAGGCAATAGAGATGCACATGTAGTAGCATAGCGCTTATTTTCTTATACAAATCAAAATTTTGATATTTTGTGTTGTTATTATATTGTGCTATGAAAAACAAAACTATTGTCAGACAATAAATATATGTATGATTTATTCTATGAGTGTGCTGTCTATTGTTTTAAGGCAATAGAGATGAATGTAGCATAGTGTTTCCCTTATACAAATCAAAATTTTGATACTTTATGTTTCATAAAAGCACTCCAAATCAAAGCCTAATTCAGAAACTCCATAATGTTTTTTCTTCAGCAATCAACCTCACTATTTAGACCTTAAAACTAAATGATCCATCTTTAAAATTTATTTGAGAGCTGCTAACTTAATAGGATACAATAGTTTCATTTTTTTCTCTAATTTTTATTATACTTGAACTTAATAAGAAACTATTTTATGTGAATTTAATCTTATAATACTTTAGGCGCACAGCATTAAAAAATTTCAAAGATTTGCAAAGAGGGTAGTATTAAACATATTTTATGTGAAATTATTCGTATCGTAGTTTAGGAACATAGTCTTCAACAATTTCAAAAATTTACAGAGAGGGTAGCAAGCAACACCAAAATTATAATTCTTGATGACTTTTGCAGCGGACTAATTACTAGGTGTGTAAAGAAATATACAAAAACAGCAAAAACAAGAAAAACTAAACATAAAAATTCAACCTAGCTAAATTTTTTAAGGTTCGAAATGAAAAGATGTTAATCAAAGATGACATAATTCTGCAAACAGCTAAAAGAGAGTGTAAAGGAAAATTTTTTATGAAAAATTTTCAAAATAAATACAATCATGAATTACTTTCAGATGTTGATTCAACAAAATCAAGTTAATTTAACTTTGAAAAAAATATTTAAAATATTAGTTAAAATTATGAGGGCAATAATTATCACCTTCTCATTTTTAGTCGTATCAAAAAAGATGGATGATCCAGTGACATGAGAATTGACACACTAGACATGCAGAAAAAATTTGTCTCATAATTATACTCGAGCTCTTAAAGATGTTTATGATGAGTAATGAACAGTGCTACGATTATTTATGGAGTAACTGTAAAAGTTTAAATCAAAATAAAATTACATCAAGATCTGTATGTTTGTAAGATTTCACATTGATAATAGTCATGCAATAAAAAATAACCAAACAGGGTGTCTTAGTTATCACCGATACAATTCAAACATGCAAGACCACTTTTAAAGTAGTAAAAAAAGTTGTAAGTATGGACTTAACTTCAAAAAATAAAAGACTTAAAATTAACAAAATATGTATTGAGTGCATAATAAATAATGGTAGTAAATGTGCATTCAATCAATCTATAATGCTAGTATATCAAGTAATATATAAATATTATGAATTTCAATACCTTGGATCTATCATACATCATATGAAGAATAAATTTAAGAGTTTAAATTGGGTAATTAAAGGAAGAAGCGTCTCAACATGTAATGTAATAGGAAAATATCATAGAGATTTGAAACTAGATTTATAAACTTATAATTAGACTGCCTGTGAAATATATTCTAATAGTTGGGTAGCAAAGAAGCCATTAATAATCTGTTGAGTATGACGGAAAAAGAATATTAAGATGCATATGTGACAAAAATAAAAATTATAATTTTGAAATGAATAAAAAAGAGAGTTAGGGTGGTGTTATTTTAAAATAAAGTAAGAAAAAGGGAGTGGGAGTTCAGCACATTTGGGAAGATACAATAAAGGGTTAAAAAAGCACCACTAGACTGTGTAGACTGCAAAAAAAAATGTAGATCATTTGATGACATGACTAAAGTGCAAAAAAAACATTTTCAAAATATTGTTACCATCTCCAACAGCATTTCTTAGGGATGAATAGAAAATGAGGATTCAAAGCGGACCCACCAAGTAAGATAAGAATTATGATCATGAATCCTACAAATATTAATTATATACTAAATCAATGCATTTTTATCAAAAGAAATATGCAAAAAAAGATCATTTTGCACAGGCATTTTGATGCTTTCGATGTTGATCATACCCTTGCTTGTGATTCTAATCTTTATCTGCTTGTAGAAGAAATAAAATGAGTTAAAACACACATGTCCAATGCCTGGTTTGCACATTTCAAAAATGTTTGCAAGTACGGTTCCATTATATTGGGATATAAATAAATGATTGAAATTATAGATAATTACTTTAAAAGAGATGGAGACATGTAGCAAATTTCTTGATGAAATTTCTACTCATCCTTTTTTCTTCTAGCTCCTTTTTAGAGGCGGGCACAGAACAAACCAATACCAAATGCAGTGTCCGATCATAAAGTATTAAAAAGAACTTATTTTAGGAAATATCAAACCTGATAATATGCCAACAATCTTCCAACTTCAACATGACCTTCGGCAGTTTTTATCCTCTTCTCAAGTTTCTCATCAACCATAGAAGAAATCACCTGACCCATGCCTCCAGAATTATGTTGTCCAGAGTCTTCCTCATGCAAATTTAATGGATTAGGTTGCCTGACAGACTTTGAAAGGTGACTTCTTATGTAAGAAAATCTTGGAGTCCCAGAACCTAGATTGTCGTACTTTGGAGTAATATCCTTCAAAGTTTTTTCTCTTAAAGATTTGCGTGGAAGTTTTGACAAGATGGATGCCATCACATTCCACTGATCTGTAAGAGTGCACAAATATATACATTCTAATGCTGTTTCTGCTGCTTCATTTTCATCCTTAAAAAGTCCACAAACTGAAACTGGGGTTTCTTGACATCCATTTTCAATGACTTTTAAGCAAGTATCTAGCCTGTTACCAGATGCAATCTCCTTCATCCATCTAACCAAGAAGGAATCACTTTGTTCACAACGCACGAAACCAATCACATCATTCTTTTGTTCTATGGAATCTACCTGCTCAGAGTGAAAACGCTTTTGCATAAATGGAATAGCTTTTTCTTGCAAAGTTTCTACTACAGAATCCACTGTAAACCCCTTCAGAAGCATTTTAAACTTTTCATAGTCTGGCAATTGTTCCCACTCAACAAGGCCCATCCTCAAATCTTCAGAACTTCCATCAGCATAGCTAAGATGATGTAAATATGTGATATCCTCAAGGAATAGTTGCAACTCTAAAATGTCTTTGTGACATGCAAACTCAACTAAGGCGAGACAGTTTTCAAGCTGGCCACTCAGGGAATCAATATCCTTTGCCCTATTAGCATACCAATCAACAAGTTTGGCACTTGATGGCCAAACAAAACCTCCTGCAAGCTTTAAGATATTTTCAGTCCTCGCTTGTATAAGCTTCTCAGACCCATCAGGCATTTTATCAATCAAGCACATCATTCGTTCACACTCAACCCAATCACTCTCCCTTAAAGATACGGTAGCTGGTGGACTCTTTCCAGGAAGGAGCTGAGAATATGACTGAACTGGGACAGTTTCAGGGATTGCAGACAAAATATGTAACATATCTTCTGAAAGAGAATAAGGATGACGCTTGAAAAGCAAGTTAAGAGCACCAATTTTTCCATTTTCTGCAAGATTAACTGCAACATTTGCAACCGGAACAGCACGAAAATTGCTATATTCCTTTGGTGAAAACCTGAATTAAATTTTGAAAAGAATGACCTCATAAAATAAAGATAGTAAGCTCATATGTATATACAAAAACAATATCTCTAGCATATTCATGTGCAAGCTTATTCGAAGAATCAGCTTCATAACTTTATATAAACAACAAAAAATGCATATGTCTGGACAAAATAAGTTATCCCAGCTTTTAAAGAGCCAACCAAGGAGAGCAAAAAAAAAAGCCCATGCGTCTTCATCAAAAATCATTAAATTCTAGTGATGCACTGTGACCGTCTAAGCAAACATGGTTTCTACATATGTTCAATGTTTAAGTTGATACATAAGTTCATAGAAAACTTTAAATTGTTATTAAAAAGGTCATCAAATTGGCAGAACAGCTTCATCTTTACATTAAAAGAGAGCCTCTGAAAAGTAATCAGAAAGTAAATATTTTAAAACAGCACATTTAGCTTTAAAACTAACATCAAAAATGAAAATTTAAAACATATTCCACTAAATATAAGACCTTTAGGAATGAAACTTCAACGAGCTACAAAGCCCATGTTCTGGGGATGATGCAAAGAAGTTACATTTCATCAATGCAAAATAATGTTCTGCTAAATTAAGACTATTTTAAGATTGAAAAACATGATAACTAACATATAGTTCCAAACTCATGACAACCTTAAGAATGCTACGCACCTTCCCATATTTATCCCTACAAACGTATCCAATTTGTCTTTGTATTGCAGCAACTGAAGTCTAGCAACCCAAAAATCCCAAAGTAAGCATGATTCTTCATTATTAAAGTTTGAAAATATGTAGTCCTCAGTTATATGAATCCCGTAAGAAAGCAAAGCCTTCACTGCACCTTCTGTTGGTCCAACTTTGTCTACACACTCAGACAATGCAAACATCCGATCACTGACTTTGGATAAAAACATATCCACATCTTGGATTCCATAACAAGAACTTAACCACTGTGCTTTAAATACTTCATCTCTATCCAGACCATGACGATCGGCAAACTCCAAAGCAGAATGATATTGTTGCTTACGGATAAGAACGCTATACATTTCTGTGGCAGATCTTCCAGAAATTGATAACAGGCTCCAGTGTAGTTTGGAATTATTAAGTTGGTTTATGCATAAAGCTTTTTTACTGGCAGTCTGCTCAGGCTCTGATAGTCTTCCCACAGAAGATCTTACCTCCAAAACAAAAACATGCCCTTGAATGTACTTAAGCCTTTCAATGACAGGCATACAAAAATGTGGACCCTCCTTTAGAATAGTATTATTATTTATAACATCAAACATGGTAAAATAGCCCCTGCTGTTTAGAAGAATCAAAACATGATCAGTCCACCAACATATGTCAATAATATCCTTTTGCTTCACCTTATCAAAACATTGTGAGTGCTGCCTCTCAGAAACGCATAGAACAGAAATAGTATCTGAATCAATTCGAAAAACATCTATGCAGCCAGTCAAGTCAAGAGTTGCAATAAATTCTCCCTGTGGTGAGATGGACACTTTTGATGACTTTAGAGAAATTTGGTGATCTTTAGGAGAAGAAAATAGGCCTTCAAACTGAGCACTACAAAACACCAACTCTAGGTCTAAATTTGTGGCCATCCGCAATAAATAAAGAGAATATAAACCTGCAAAAGCAAGACAAGGGCATTCAGGTCACAAAAAAAATCAAGATTTGGCAGTCAAGTATAGCTGATAACACGAAAACAAAATTTACAGAAATTTTGATAGGTTACCAGATATGCATTGGGATTTTTCTGAGGCTTTAAAAGCATCAACTAAGACAATCAGAGATAGATCTGGACAGTAGTCAAGACATGATATATTGCAAGGCATTTTGTCTTTGAATGGATTATTTAAGATGGGAATGGGGAAGATACTTGCTCTGGGTTCTTCAGAAACCTCAAAAGAATGAACCAAACCATCTGCAGTAAAAATGCCGAAGGCATTCCTAAGAGGAAGCATATTAGAGCTTGTTTTTCTTTTAAGAAAGTAAAACAGAAGAGAAATGCAATGAGTTGACTGCAAATAATAGATACAAACGCATAAGATTCCTTATCCAAATTAAAAAGGAAAATGAAAAGCTTAAAATGCAAAACATTGCAACTTACATGTAAGACTTTTGGGATTTGCCATTATCTAGCACAACCAAGTCAATAATGGGTACATGCAATTTTAACTCATTCCTACTTGACCTCATTATTTCTTTGCCATTTGAGTTGATTAAATAAAAGGTATATGTGTCGTTGATCACACCAAGAATACCTTGAGGTTCCATCCAAGCCCCATTAGTAAAAAAAGATGATCTATCATTACCTGATTGAAAAAATTAACTATTAGACATTTTAAGATACTAGATAGGTTGTAAATGCATTAAAGGGGAACAAACTGTTAACAAGTGGTGGCATCAAATTTTATATTTCAAGAACTCAAGACAATTACAATTGCAATTTCACATTAAAAGACCACGTGATCGCTTTCAATAATTTGTTCAATGGGTTCTTCCAATAATTTGTTCCCACTTTGAGGCTTTAGCTAAGAATTGCGAACATATAAAACCTAAATAAAAAGTGGGATGCTTTATTCTAGACTTCAGAATAGGATGAAACCAATAATGTAGAAAATTCAACAACTTTGAACTAAAATTTTGCATCAAATATAATATTTCTTTGACTGGTTTTACTGAAGCTACAAGAGCAAGCACATATACTTGAATCTATTGCAGTACTTGACATATAAAATGCTTTAGTCAACACAAGGAATTTAAAATCTCAAACAGCACAAGCTGCAAAATAACAGCTAGTCACTCTAATGTTTTTTTTTCATTGGTACAGATATTTGGGATGATGGAAGTTTTATCCACTTTTTAATTTTTGAAAAATAGCAAATTTCATGCACTATACAAATTAGTTGCATTTCATAAGAAACAAATCAACTTTGCTAAATAAAACCCTAGAAAGATGATATTTTTAATTTTTTTAACTCAGACCATAGCACATAGAAGAATGACATCCGCCACAAAAAAGGACCATTTCTTTAATAAGTGCAAAATCAAGTACATCCACTAAAATTGATCGAATTGAGAAGAATGAAATATGATAAGGGTACAAAGGTACTGGAAAAACAAGCACAGATGATAATTGTTGTCATCAAAACTACCAAAGCTGCGCCTTTTAGGATATTTATACTTGAACAAGCTCAACAACAGAAAAAATTTGGATATTATAGCTGAGGTAATATTATTACAATATTTTTTTGAAGCAATATTCTCAATTAATATTTTCTATAGAATTAGAGAGTGATTTAAAGTACATGAACAACAAAGAAGACGGGCAGGAGACAAACAATACACCCAATCAAAATTGAATGCTATGATATTGTTCTTCTATTAAGGCTTTAAAATGAAATTACCAAAACTCTACTCACCATTATAAACGCCGCATGGCTCCATATAATCATCATCCTTCTGCAAAATAACAAGCTGATTTTGAAAAGCTAGAGCAACATGCTCACCATCAGAAGAAACAAAAAGTGCAATCTTTGTCGTAGACCTACTTGGTCTCCAATATTCATTCCATTTCTGTTTGAGTCGTTCAGCACCTTCAAAGAATGAAAAGTAAAATTAAAGAATAAGAACATTAGAAGATTCAAACACAGTTTAAGCATCAAAGTCCTTTTTTCCCTTTCTTTCTTCTATAATAGGTAGAGCCGAGCATTTGATGTTGCAACCAGTATTCTTTAGTCACTAAACTCTCATAGAAGTTTTTAGTAGTTGACTAACAAATGCTTTGGTCAAGAGGGTTTTTGGTACAATTCATAAATAAAAGAGTGTTCATGCAACCTTTCGCTCATAAACTAGAAAACAATCTCAGAATGTTTTCTCAAAACACACACACGCACGCACAAACAACAACAGCAACAAAAAACCACCTTGAATGGATAGATAAGACATTAAACCCCCAGCAGGCGTACGGCTTCCCTGAGTTCCAAGAAAACATACATTGTTCAATACTAATAATAAGGTCTTCAATGCTATATTTTAAACCGCACTAAAATGCAGCAATACCTCCTGTAGAGACGAATCTTGAGCGAAAACCCCTGCAGCGTGCTTGCGGGTCTCAAAGATTACCTCCTCAACCACTTCGGCTCTTCCACTTTCCATCTCCCACCTTCGTCCTAGCTACTTTCACTAGTTTCTTGAACCAAATTGACACACAGTTAAGTATCAAACATCACCGAGGATTCCCACTCCGTTTGTAGACCAATTTGGCAACTGCGTCTAATGAGAATTTTAGGAAAGATGGCGTGTCAAAGACGAGAATCATCCACTAACCGAAAGGCCAACTCGTACATTGGCAATCCGTGCTGAGGAGCGGTTTGATAGCAGAATTTAATGAGGATTTAACCTAAATCCTGCCAAACAACCAAAATGACAACTTGAATCTCATGTTTCCTCAGTTGTTGCTTTAAAGCATGGATCTAGGCTATCAACCCTGATGTGTGCTTCCAAATATGTTTGGGTAATTGAATAAAAATAACATTCTTAAGATATGATGACTTGATATGGAGAGAATTTTAGGGATTGTTTAGCATATGCGTTTAAAGTTTGAACCAAAATTTGAAAGTTAAACTTTGAATTTTAAATTTAAAAAGCAGAATTTTGAGGACATTTATTTGGAAAATTCAAATTCAAATTTGAAGAATGGAATTAAATTATGAATTCTGAATTCGCATAGATATTTTTTAAAAAGGAAATTAAGAGTTTGTTGGCATTTAGAGCTTTTTCTATTCTTATTTTTATACGAAAGTGGAGAATTTGATGTGATCGAACTGCATTAGAATTGTGCTTTATCCTCAATTCAAAGCAATATTAGTTGAACCTCGTACTTAAGCTATAGTTTAATCACATATAAAGAGATGGGGATAAAACATTAAGGAGAAATTAGTAAAGTACGATGTTGATGTAATAACACAAAAAATAATAATAATAATAATAATAAATAAATAGGAGTCGGGGTGGTTAAAAGAGATGCACCTTCTCGTAAGGGACTTATTTCATGTTGTTTGATGCTCCCCATTATTCAAATCAAGAGAGGGAAAGATTGTTCGTGCCCTAGCCGGGGAAGTAGAAGAAGTAGAAGAAGTAGAAGAAGGAAGAAGGTTCGTGCGGTTTTCCTCGTCGTGCGATACTTACTCGAGCGACGACGAAGAGGAAGGAAGGAGGATCGACTTCATGCGCAGCTACCGTTCTCGCGTGCGGTGGAAGACTAGGTTGCGTCAAGTCGCGGACGAAGGAGAAGAGGTAGGCAAGTCGAAGCCCCTGGGTTCCTCGAGTGCGAGAAGAAGAGAGGGAAGAGAAATGCGGATGTTGCTCTGTGTCAAAGTTAGACACAGACTAGGCACGTAGACTAACGTGCGTATATGCGGATGTTGCTCTGTGTCAAAGTTAGACACAGATGAGGAGAAAAGAAAAAATATTACATCAGTATTAGCCACGTAGAGTAACGTGCGTACCCAATGAAATCACGTCACAATACACTGCGCGACGCAGAAAAAAAAAATAGTGCAGTAATACCACGTCACAATACACTGCGCGACGCAGAAAAAAAAACAGTGCACGGGAATACTCTCCCCCGTGTTATTCATGTGTTATTGTGTGTTATTCATGTGTTATTGTATCCTGGGAATATTCCTGGTGTTATAATAACACAATAACACATGAATAACACATGAATAACACACAATAACACAAGAATAACACGGGAGA